GGAAAGTAGAAGGAATCACCTTTCTAACGATACCTTCCATATACGCGTATCCTTTTTTGATCCTGAGATATAGGCCAAAACATATTTTGTCCTTTAAAATCGTATTTTTCGATGATAAATTTTTTTCTCAAAATTTCTACAATGAAATGCTTAGATCAATACATATTCGGAAAGTAGAAGGAATCACCTTTCTAACGATACCTTCCATATACGCGTATCCTTTTTTGATCCTGAGATATAGGCCAAAACATATTTTGTCCTTTAAAATCGTATTTTTCGATGATAAATTTTTTTCTCAAAATTTCTACAATGAAATGCTTAGATCAATACATATTCGGAAAGTAGAAGGAATCACCTTTCTAACGATACCTTCCATATACGCGTATCCTTTTTTGATCCTGAGATATAGGCCAAAACATATTTTGTCCTTTAAAATCGTATTTTTCGATGATAAATTTTTTTCTCAAAATTTCTACAATGAAATGCTTAGATCAATACATATTGTATTGTATTAGTATTTTATTTACTAGGAGATAATAAAAATCGTTTTTCGTAAATCAAACAAATGACTAAGATTAAAAGTCTAACACGTTGAAAAACGTTTTTATTATAACCTAGAAAATCGTTTTTATTTTCCGTTCATATACAAAAACGTTTTTGAACTGTTATACATTGTTATACAACTGAAAGTGTTCGAAAATTAAAAACGTTTTTATCTTCACGCACATTATTTGACGTAGATTTCCAAACAACATTCGTTCAATGAGTCCTTAAAAATTTTGTAAAGAAATGTAAGTTCAGATGGATAAAAAAAAATCTAGAAAAAATGACGCCAAAAGAATTAACTTCGTTTGAAAATATAATCCCGATTTAAAGATTCCGTGTTTTAATATTTCTTGAAAAAATATTTCGAAAACATCTACATGTGTAGCTTGGATAATCCTTAAAAAATATTAACTAAAAAAATAAGTCGATGAGATTTCAAATCTAAAAAAAAAGAAAAATAAATAAAATTGATCTGAAATAACCTTTGAAGATAATATGTAAAAGACCCTGTTTTAGCTAAAAAAAAAGTATTCCCAAAGAAAAAAAATTGAAATCCAGATAGTCCTTGAAAAATTCAGCGTTTTGAGCTCACATATTCCTTAAAAAGATACAGGGTGAGATAAAAAAAACTGGAACATAGTCAAACGGCATAATTTTTACATTTAATTTTTTAATTTTATTGAATGAAAGCAACAAATGTCGGAAATAGCATCAAATTTTAGAATAAGTTTAGATTTGTTCGAATTGGTCACCTTTGGCACGAATTATGGCCTTTAAACGGCCAATGAAACCGTCACACGCTGCCCGAATGTTGCTCTGCGGTATTTTGGCCCATTCCCGGCGAAGCGTTTGCTTGAGTTGATGGACACTTTGGTATTTTTTAGTGCCAAGCTTGCTTTCCCAAATACTCTAGAAACTACAGTCCAACGGATTGGTATCCGGAGATTTTGGTGGCCATTGAGCGCTGGAAATGAAGTGAGAAACTTAATTTTGGAACCATACTTGGGAGGCACGTGTTGAGTGCAATTGTGCTGAGTCCTGTTGGGATGTTCAAGGACTGCGGCCAAAATGTTTGCGTGCCCAAGGCTTTAATACACCCTCCAGAATATTTTCGCGATAATATTCGGCATATATTCTGATGCCACGGTCGATTAATACGAGCGATGAGCGACAATCGGCTGTTATAGCGGCCCACACCATCACCATAGCCGGCACTTGAGTTCTGGTGGCCAACAGAAGGTGCACATTTTCAGCTGACCTCTTTGGCAAGTAAATACGATCATTTTGTTTATTTACAAACTGCTGGACAACGAATGTGTTCTCAACGGAGAAAACCAAATTCGGCAGTTCACCACTTTCGACCAAGCGAAACAGCTCTTTAGCTCTTTGAAGTCTACTTTCTTTCTGTTGCGGTGTAAGTTCTTGCTCTTTTTGGAATTTCAATGGCTTTAATCCGAGCTCATTTTCCAATATTTGCCGAATGGAATATTGCGATATGTTCAGCTCATGAGCCATTTTTCGGCCACTGCGACGCGGGTTTCGATCAAGTCGCTTTTTTTACTTTTCGAACCATTGCTGCTGATGTTGCAGTTTTCTTCCGTCCACTTTCGTGGGCGTCGGGCTACGCTACCAGTATCACGGTAACGAGCGATGGTACGAGACACAAAAGATTTATTCACATTTAAATGCTGGAGCAAGTGCTCTAACGATAGCCCCTGGTGGTTTTCCACCCAAATATAAATAAATCACACTATCACGCTTTAATTCCATCACGAATAACTTTTTTTCTGGAAAATTCTTACCAAAATGCTTTTGTACGCTTGTAAACAATATAATGAGCTGTCACTGGAATAATTTTAACAGCTGCCGAACGAGTGGCTTAGAAGTGACAGCAGTCTGAAGTTGGTTGCAGTTTTTACATATTATACCCTGTACGTACAAATTTCCATAACCTTCATCATACGATCCAATAAAAAATATTAGTTCGCAATTACAGGATTCCTCCTCTTATCGGTTCATTCAAATCCAGATTGTACCAAATTTAGTACCGCATAGTACACAAAAGTACGAATTGCCAAAGCTTCCTACATACTCCAATCCTACAATCCCACGGTAATCCCAATTCCAAATTTTAAGATTCCATCCTAATCGATTCGCCCAAATCCAAAATGTATCAAATGTAGTACATTTTAGTACATATAAGTGAAAATTTCCTAAACTAATTCCATATCCCAATCCTGCACTCCGACAGCAATCTTTTTTTTTCCAAATTTCAGGATACCAGCTCTATTGGTTTACCTAAAATCTAAATTTTACCAAAATGTAATACCATTTAGTACACATAAGTAAAATGTCCCTAGCAACCTGCAGCATACGATCCAATGGAAATCTCATTTCTAAATTTCAGAATTCCAAATCTATTGGTTCTCCCAACATTTAAATGTAGTACCATTTAGTACTCATACGTTGTTCCAAATTTCATTATTCCATTTCTACGGGTTCTCCAAAAGTTTAAATTGTAACAATTTAAGTACCATTTAGTACACAATTTCCAAATTTCCGCATTCTAGCTTCATCGGTTCGCCCACACCCAATGTGTACCAAATTTAGTACCATTTAGTCATTTTCGTGCATATAAGTACACATTTCGAAAACTACATCCATATCCCAATCCTACATTCTGTCAGTATTGTTAATTTCAAATTTCAGGATTGTAGTTCCATGCGTTCCTCCAAATATCAATTGTTGTACCAAATTAGTGCTATTTAGTACAGATAAGTACAAATTCTCTTAACTGCCTACAGCACACAATTCAATGGAAATCTTATTTCCAAATTCCAAGTTTAGGATTCCAATTTTACGGGTTCTCCAAAAATTTAAATTTTCTCCCAAAATTTAGTACCATTTGGTACACATGAGTACGAATTTACAAAACTTCCTACACACCCCAATCCTACAATGCAATAGTAATTTTATTTCCAAATTTCAGCATTCCTTCTTATTTCCGAATTTCGTGATTCCATTTCTACCGTTTCTCCCAAAATTTAAATTTTCTCCCAAAATTTAGTACCTTTTAGTACTTTTCGTGCACATAAGTACAAATTTCGAAAACTAGCTCCAAATGCCAATCCGACACTTCGCCAGTAATGTTAATTTCCAAATTCCAGGATTTCAGCTCCATTCGTTCCTCCATATTCGAATTGTACTAAATTTAGTACTATTTAGTACACATAAGTGCAAATTATCTTAACTGCCTACAGCACACAATTCAATGGAAATCTTATTTCCAAACATTTAGGGTTCCAATTCTACCGGTTCTCCAAAAATTTAAATTGTACCAAATTTAGTACCATTTAGTACACATAGATACGAATTTTCCAAAACTTTCTACGTGCCTCAATACTATCCTTCTTATTTCCAAAATTCGAGATTCCATTTCTACCATTTCTCCCAAAATTAAAATTGTACAAAATTTAGTACCTTTTAGTACTTTTCGTGCACATACGTACAAATTTCGAAAACTAGCTCCAAATGCCAATCCGACACTGCGTCACTAATGTTAATTTCCAAATTCCAGGATTCCAGCTCCATTCCATCCTCCAAATTCAAATTGTACCAAATTTAGTACCATTTAGTACACATAAGTACACATTTCCTTAACTACCAACCTCATACAATTCAATATAAATCTTATTTCCAAATATTCAGGATTCCATTTCCACCATTTCTCCCAAAATTTAAATTGTACAACATTTAGTACCATTTAGTACTTTTCGTGCACATAAGTACAAATTTCGAAACTTGCTCCATACCCCCATTCCTACAATCCGCCAGTAATATTAATTTTTAAATTCTAAGATTCCAGCTCCATTCGTTCCTCCAAATTCAAATTGTACCCATTTAGTACCGTTTAGTACTTTTCTTATGCATGAGCACAAATTTACAAAACTACCTTCGTTATTCGATTGCCTTTCTCAACCCTGATTCCCATTCCAAATTTCAAGTTTTTAGCTCTAATCGACCACATGATACGAAATGGTACCACATGCCGTACATTTTAGTACTTTTCGTGCACTTGTGGTACTACTATACTATTTCCAAAAACCCTTTGGTACATCCATCATATACTCCATCAGTGATATGCTCTACTGGTTCGTCAAATACAAAGAGAACCATATTTAGTACCGTTGAGTACTTTTCGTACAGTTCTAGTACGAATTTCCAAAAACCCAGCCTTATCTGACTCCTTTGGACCAAGTGTGACCCTCACCCAAAATTTCAAGTTTCTGTCGATTCGTTTTTATGAATCGAAAGCTGTTAAAAAATATTTAAAAATATCTCGAAAATATATTTTGAAAAATCATTTAAACCCTGAATAAAAATTGATGAAAAATATTTTGAAAACTGAAAATTTAAAGCTCGAAAATTAATTTTTCTCTTTCTCTCTCTTTCAGAATCCGCCAAATGATAATGTTCAATAAAATATAGATGCCATAAAAAAAGTGAAAATAAAAACATTAAAAAAAATGTCCATAACTCCCCAAAAGTATCGTCCCAGTATTGCCTCCATTGACGAAGTAGATGATCGTAATTTAAAAATGGATGATGCCAAGCAACAGATCGAGGGTAGTGAAACTGCACCGCTGACCACAAATCAATTGAAATTGAATATCGATGCGAATGTGGCGGCCAAAGATTTGGAGGCGCAAAATGCTCAACATGAAAACGAAGCTCAGGCTGAGACACCAATATCCGGAGGGCCGGGATCGATAAATGGTTTTAGAGGTATACACCAGATTTTCTCATTTTCATTTCATAATTCACCTACATTTGTTGTAAATAATTCACATTCATCATTAATTCATGGACATTTTGTTGTTGTTGTTTTTCTTCGTTTGCTTCGGGTGTTTGGTTGGTGTAGCATTTCTACTTCCAGGTCGCCGTTCGTTTGATGCCCTCAAGAGTTTGTCGCGCAAACGTCGTATACTCTACATCACCACTGCCTGCCTGTGTGCCACGCTGCTAATTATCATCATCATGATGATTGCATTCTGGCCCGAAGTGCCATTCTATTTGAAGGCTGAGTTATGTTTGGAGAAAGAGTGCGTGGAGGCTAGTCGCCAGATACTGTTGTGGTCGAATACAACGAAATGTCCCTGCCACGAGACGTATGAATGGGCCTGTGGCAATTTCGATCGTGAATATGGTGAGAATGATTATTATGTCATCAAGAAAGGGGAATGGAATTATAAGACTTTTAATGAATATCAAGGTGGGTTGAACGAGAGAGAGAGAGACTTGGATGTGGAAAATGAGAGAGAGTAATTTTATGTTTTTATTTTCTTTATATTTCCAGAACTCAACGAATTAAATCGTTTCATATCCATGCTGCCAGCCTCGACGGGTTCATATTCCGTTGAATCAATGATATCGAATTTATATCGTTCCTGTCGCGAAATTGACTCCCTGGATAAGTCACAATCGGAAATGTTACTCAAAAAGGCAATGCAATCAATAGGTAAGTGATTTTTTTAATTCAGTTGACAATAAATTGAAAAAAAAAAAAAAAATAAAATAAATAATTTTTTTTCTTTCGGGAACTTAGATAGTCTTGGGAAATATTTAATTAATTCACGATTGAAGCTCGGTTATTCCTTAAAAAAATATTTGAACATTTCATGAAGCAAAATATATTAAATGCAGGCCTCCGAAAAACTCGCTCGAATCTGTACAAAGAGCATAGCTCACTCGAAATCGAGCGTGGGCGCTCCTGGGAGCAAAAAAAAAATCGAGAAAACTCTATTTTTCGATGTCTCTCGAATATTGGAGAGCCTATTTTCCCCGCTTTTGAGTGAGAGCAAAATTCGTTCAAAATCGAGTTCTCTTATTTTTTGTCATACCGTCAAACCCTCTGCCCTGTTGCTGTAACCAGCTAGACGGACGGGCATGACTATATCAACTCCAAATGTCCTGAAACGGATTTGCTCTAAAGAGAACTAGGGCTTAAAACCAAAATTTCGATGAGGCCGTATCAAATGATATATACCCTCCTCATCGAAATGTTGGTTTTAAGCCCTAGTTCTCTTTGAACAAAATCCATTTTAGGACATTTGGTCGATATAGCCATGTCCGTCTGTCCGCCCGGCTGACTCTAGCAACAGGGCTGAGGGTTTGACGGTAAGACAAAAACTAAAAGAGCGCTCGACAAGAAAAAATAGTGACGGAGAAGAAGAATCGTGAATTTGGAGATAGGAATAGAGAAGTTGGTAGGTTTGTATCCACGGTGTAATCAGCGTGTCGTTCTTAGCCATTTTAGTCTTCTTGTTAACTAGAGACTGACCACTGGCTCGGTTTCCTCCCTCGGGCAGAATTTGCTTACTCAGTAGCATCTGTGTCACTCCGATAAGAGTTGGGCAGTGGCAGAGTAAGTGCTTCACCGTCTCAGTTTTCTACTAGTCCTGACAAAGCCGTATGCAGTATTCACTATCGTCACCCCCCCATTTGGAAGTCATGCCCCAAGCCACAAGCTTCAAGTCCGACTTCGTCATGGATATGGGTGACCGTGATCTCCTTTCGGAGTTCACCGGCCAAATCTATTTGCAGATATTACATCCCCCTCCAGTTGGCCAGTTCTTTTGTAATCTCCCAAGATAATGTTTAGTAGTATCAGTATTTGGAAGAAATGGCATAAAGATGGCGGACGTCTGGCCAATGCCTCAGCGGACTCTTTGCCAGATATGTTACAGCGTCCAGGGACCCAACAGAGTTTGACAAACGACTTAACCTTTTCTAGAGCATTACTGCTATCCAGAACTGCCATAGATTTGATTGTAAAACGATTAAGAGCCTTCAGGGCCACTTGACTATCGACATATATAGTAGTCACCGGTCCATCCAGCTCATTGATTCTGTTTGCCAGCAGCTCTATGGCCTTCCTGACAGCAAAGATTTTTGCCTGCAGATCATAATATTTTTACTAACCCAAGGTCTGGTGTGAAGATGGAATATATCGATTTACTCCTTCTGCTACCTCCCCCACAAAGGGTCAAATTTTTGAATATTCATAAAGCTCATAAAACACGAAATTAACATCCGATTCCATTCAGATTTGGTATATCTCAATATTTTTAGCAATTAAAGATCTGTTATAAAGATTGCAGAGGTCGGAACATTACTTTTGCTACCTCCCCCACAAAGGGTCAAAGTTTTGAATTACCGTAACGAATTTTAAATCCGAAATAAGCATCCGGTTTTCTTCATATTTCACACATCCCATTATTTCTACTAACGCAAAGATGGGGTATATCGGACCACTCCTTCTGGTATCTCTCCCACTAGGTTCAAAATTTTGAATATTCATGAAGCTCATAAAACACGAAATTAAAATCCGATTTTATTCAGAGTTGGTACATCTAAATATTTCCATCAATGCAGGATCTGTTATAAAGATCGTAGAGATCGAACCATTCCTTCTGGTACCTACCCTACAACGGTCAACCATTTAGAACAATTATAGCTGTTATAAAATGTGAAGCATGAGTAGATGGTCTTGACATTTCGCAGGTCCTAATATTTCCTTAACAGAATATCTGGTATAAAGAACCGATATAACGGCCCACTCCTTCTGGTACCTCCCGCACAACGGGTCAAAATTTTGAATATCCCCGAAGCTAATAAAACACGAAATAAGCATCCGATTTTTTTAAACTCGGCACATCGGAATGTTGTTATCAACGCAAGAGCTGATATTGAGATGGGATATATCGAACCACTAATTCTGGTACCTCCCCCACAACGGGTCAAAGTTTTGCATAATGATAACTCTCATAGAGTGCGAAGCAAGCACCCGATTCTCTTTAAATTTCATACATTCTAATATTTTTAATAAGGCAAAATCTGGTGTGAAAGATGGCAGGTATCGGCCCACCCCTCCAGGTACCTCCCCCACAAAGGGTGACAATATTCAATACTTATATCTCTTATAACTTGGGAAATAGTTCAACGATTCTTTTCAAACTAAGTATATTTAAATATTTCTCCCAGCCAGAGATCGGATATGAATATGCAATTTATCGTCCCACACCTTCTCGTACTTCCTCATAAAAGTTCTCCATTCCCTTGCATGGAGCCCATAAAACGCGATTCCATTCAGACTTGGTGCATTTCAATATTTTTATCAACACAAAATGTGATCGGTCAAAGGGGTCAAAATTTGGAATAACCAAAACAATCATAAAATCTGAAATAAGCATCTGGTTCTCTTAGAATTTCACACATGCCTTATTTTTACTAACACAAGATCTGCTGTGAAAATGGGATATATTGGCACACTTCTACTGGTACTTCCCCACAAAGGGTTCAATATTTTGGTAATACTGGATCTGTTGTGAAGATGATGGATATCTGCCAACCCGTTCTGGTACCTCAACCACAGAGGATCACAATTTCCAATACTTATATGTGCCATAATTGCGAAATAAGTCGGCAATTGTATATAACTTTTTTTGTCTCTAAAAGGCCTGTGATATTCCCACTACCCATAGCAGGCTTTCAAATTTCTTCTGCCCAGATCTTTTTGGGTTTTTCTTGAAATGTTTAAAAAATTAAGAATTAAATATATATATTTTTTAAATATATTTTATTATTTTATGAAATACTTGATTTTAACAAAACTTTAACAAAATAAAGTTAACAAATAACGAAAAATGCTAATTTGCCTTTAATGGCTTGCCGGAGGCAAGTAGGCGGAGCTTTGGCCACCAACAAAGCCTGAGGAGGAGCCACTGGTGCCTCCAAAGGAACCCGAAGCTGCACCACCTCCCACAGCACCAGCGCCAGCACCATCCAAAATGCCCACAACAGATTGTTGGGGAGCCACACCGGCATCGGTGTGTTCCGAGGTACCTTGGATTTGATCGTATTCAGCTGGGAAGAGAATAAGTTAATAACAGTTATCTGAGGGTTCCCATTTTTTTTAGTCTGAATAATGCCTACCTTGAATTTGCCTCTGGGCATGTTGAGCCTCGGCTTCAGTCTTGTATTTGATGAAGAAGACCTCAGGTTTGCTTGGCACCGTGGGTGCTGGTGTGGCAATGTCATTAACTTCCAAGGCACTATCCTTTTTGGCCAAAACATAAATGACAGTCTTCTCCTCTTGGGGAGCATATTCAGCGGACAGCTTGACATTGGCATTGTTCGAAGAGGGAGCCTTAATGAAGACGACACGATAATTCTTTTGTGGGCGACCAATTACCAAATGTTTGGATTTGGATAGGCTATCATTATCCTCCGGAGCGGCAACGGTAATGAATTGTTTATGCACCAAGGGAGCTTCGAAATGACCACCGCTTTGGGCCACAGAGCCAGATTGGTAGCCGCCAAGGGAGGAGCCGCCGCCAAAGGAAGCACCGCCAAATGAGGAGCCACCGCCAAATGAAGAGCCTCCAAATGAGGAACCTCCTCCAAATGAGGAACCTCCTCCAAATGAGGAACCTCCTCCAAATGAGGAACCTCCTCCAAATGAGGAACCTCCTCCAATGGAGCCTGAGCCAAAGGAAGTTCCATGCCCACCAAACGAGGAACTTCCACCAAAGGACGAACCACCACCCAAGCCAATACCTGAGCCACCAAAGCTTCCCGAAACTCCAGAGCCATAGTTGTACTGAGGTTTAGCCAAGGTTAAGGCCACCAGGGAACACAGAACCTAAAAATAAAAATTGCATTTTTTAATTTTTTTTTTAATCCTTGATTTTTTTTAAACCAAAAAATATTTTATTTACCAAAAATAGACGCATTTTGTGAAGAGGAGATTTTTTTGGTTTGATCTGCAGCTGTCTTGAAACTGATACCCTCAACTGTAATTTTCAAGATTTTTATACAAAATTTCATAAATTGATATAAAATGTTGATAAATTGCAAGAAAATGGAGAAGAAGCAAAGGAAGGAAGATACATCTGCATCAGGTGTTTTCTTGCAGATTTTGGCTACTTCTTCTTTTTTTCTTGTCTTTTTGAATAGAGCACGCGCATGTCGGATTTTTTGTTTGTTCGTCTTCTTAAAAGGTTAATAATTATGTTTGTTTTTCCCCCACCTAAAAAGCGTTGCATTTCATCATTTGATGAATTCATTTGACAGCTTAATTTATATAATCGACAAATAAATAATGCGTTGTCTGTGCTCTGTCGAAATGGGAGGATAATGCGACCGTTTTTTTTTTTCAAAATTATGACTTAGCAAGGTTAATTATACTCTGATAAAATATATTTACTCTAAAGAACAAATCCAATGCAAACGAAAGAAGTTCAACATGAGCAAATGCTGTAAGAATGTTTCTTACCCTAAAATAATGAAAAACCAATAAGGAAGGCTCAAAAGTCTGGCGGGGCCGACTATATGATACCCTACACCACTATGTATATTTAGTAGAACTCTCGTAAAAGAAAGGTTTATATTGCAATTTCTGAGCTCTATGACATATCTGGTACAAAATATCACTGTGGTAGAGTGCATATCCCGAAG